GGCTCGACAAAAAAAAAATAAACAAATGCATTCCTCTCCCGCCTGACCTGCAGCGAAGAGCAGGCCTTCGTCGGGCACTGAGCCGAGCAGGACGGGCACGCGGGCGAGGGGCAGCGAGGACAAGCGCCCCGGCAGGAAGGGTTGTGCGCGGCGCCCCCCGTCAACGGTCGGCACGAACGGAAGAGGCCAGAAGCCGAAGCGCTGCGGGGAAGAGAGCGACGTCGTAAGGGCTATTGCTATCGTCGGCATCCTCATCAGCATTATTAACAATGATATTATTATTATCGTTATTATCGTAATTATTATCATTAATGTTTGTTATCATTCTTATAGTCATTATTATAGTTATGATCATGATTTTTATATCATTAACATTACAATCATCATTATCATTATTACCATTATTATTATCATTATAGCTTATCATTCTTATTGTCATTATTGTAATTATGATTACAATTGCCAGTACTAAGTTACTACGATTGCTTTTATCATACTATCATCGTAATCATTCCATCGCCGTTACTAGTCTCTTTGTCTCTTTGTCTCTCTTTCTCTTTCTCTCTCTCTCTCTCTCTCTCTCTCTCTCTCTCTCTCTCTCTCTCTCTCTCTCTCTCTCTCTCTCTCTCTCTCTCTCTCTCTCTCTCTCTTCTCTCCTCTCTCTCTCTCTCCTCTCTCTCTCTCTCTCTCTCTCTCTCTCTCTCTCTCTTTCTCTCTCTTCTTCTCTCTCTCTCTCTTCTCTCTCTCTCTCTCTCTCTCTCTCTCTCTCTCTCTCTCTCTCTCTCTCTCTCTCTCTCTCTCTCTTCTCTCTCTCTCTTCTCTCTCTCTCTCTCCCTCTCTCTCTCCTCTCTCTCTCCCTCTCTCACTCTCTCTCTTCTCTCTCTATCTATCTATCTCTCTATCTCTCTCTCTATTTCTCTATCTCCCGCTCGTTCTCACATGCAAGGCGGCCTGCGCGGCGAGGAGGTCCTCCATGGGAACCGCGGAGAGGCAGGTCTTCATGAGCGCCGACGGGGAGGTGGGGCATCCGACGCCCCTCGCCAGCTGGTGAGCAAAGGTGGTGAGGTTCCCCCGGACGGCCCACTCGCAGCTCCCTGATCCGCTCATCATGAGGCCGCCGTGGAAGAGGCCTGAGATGTCGAGGTGGAATTAGGTGGGGGGGGGGGGTCGAGGAAAGTAATGATTATAATGGAAGTAATTAAAGTAATCTGCACAGGGTGTAATCAGCATATACTTTCATTTCTTGTGTTTGTGAGCAGCGAAGAGTCGGCAAACTAATTACCTCTGGATAGGGGCGACGCCATGTGCAGGTGGATGGAGGCGGAACCCGCAGAGAAGCCCCCGATGGTCACCCTGGAGGAGTCGCCGCCGAACTGAGCGATGTTGTCGCGCACCCAGCGGAGCGCCGAGACCTGGTCCAGCATGCCGTAGTTGCCGGGGAATTCGGCGTCGTCCGTCGTGAGGAATCCTGACAGAGGCCGAGGCAGAGAGAGGCTCAGAAAGACTGGCTTTCTTTATATAGTACAAGGCATATGCACACATAATAATATATGTGTGTGTGTGTGTGTGCAAAATATGTATTTGTATATGTATGCATGTATATATATTATATATATATATATATATATATATATATATAATTATATAATATATATATATAGAGAGAGAGAGAGAGAGAGAGAGAGAGAGAGAGAGAGAGAGAGAGAGAGAGAGAGAGAGAGAGAGAGAGAGGAGAGAGAGAGAGAGAGGTATGTGCGTGTGTTGTTTGTTTGCGTATATGTGCGTGTGGTGTGTGGATATATACATACACTTTTTTTGTCAGTTTGCAAAACGGTCTTCCCTTCAAAAAGTTATTTCGTCCTCCCTCACACAGCCCCTACCTTTTCCTTCCTCCCCCACCCACCCCGCCCCCCTCCTCTTGCCCTCCTCCGCGCCCCTCCCCTTGCCCTCCTCCGCCCCTTGTCCTTACCGAGGGCCCCGATGCGGTAGTTGAGAGTGACGAGGACGACATCATGGGCGAGGAGCCTGGCGGGGCCGTGCGCCGAGGACGACCCCCTGAGGAAGGCGCCGCCATGGATGAAGACGAACACAGGGAGCAGACCTGTCTTGTTGCCGGCAGTCTCTGATCCTGGTGGTAAATATCGGTAAGAGACGCTTTACAAATCAATTATATAAGGGTTTTACCCGCATTTTGGAAAAAGGAAAATGTAGGATTTTTCACGGGAATGGTGGGAAGATATAGCAGAGAAGAGTGATATAGAAAGGTATCACAGACATAGCCAACAAAGACATCTGTAAAATGGTGTAAATGAAAGCATAATTCATCGACTTAATCGAATATAATTGGACAGGTTATCTTTTGAAGCTTATAATTTTCCCCTATTGTGAAAAATCTTAATAGGCTATATTAAAAACATCCGGTTAATACTCTCTAGGACGTCATGAACCACGAATATATCCAAATCATCTGGCGGTCAAAAAATCACTGATCTGAACGAGAGTGGCTCACCTGGCAGATAAGGCGTGAAGACGTTGAGATAAAGGCAGTCCTCCTTGCCCAGGACGCGCTTGCTCTCAGTGTCGTACTGCGGGCAGAAGGAGCGGAACCTCGTCGCGTCTAGGAAGCCTCCAGGCCACGCCCCTCGTTTGTCCACAGGCTCCGCCCAGCGCAAGTCTCCCACGGGAGGTTCGGCGAAGGGGATGCCTCTGTAAAGCGACGCGGTTGTTATCTTGACGGCTTCAGGTATCAAGCCACACAGCTGTCATGTGACTTTTTACTTTTCTCAAAAGTGCCACCGCCGAGCAAACGGGTCTCGCCATGTGGCGCTTACCTGAAAGGAGTAGAAAGTGCGTTGAGCGGTTGACGCCAAGGGAAGACTCCCGCCGGCCCTTCGCGACGCCCAAAGAGGTCGCGTGCTCTATATACTCTGCCCGTTGAGACGCTGGAAAAGGGATGCGTTTTAGCGGAAAACGTACTTTCCGTTTTCTTTGTAAGTCAGCCTTTTACCTAATATTTTTCTTGCATCTCTCTCTCTCTCTCTCTCTCTCCCTCCTCCCTCCCTCCCCCTCCCTCCCTCTCCCCTTCTCTCCCTCCTCTCCTCTCTCTCTCTCTCTCTCTCTCTGTCTCCTCTTTTCTCCTCTCTCCTTCTCTCTCTCTCTCTCCCTCCCTCTTCCCTCCCTCTCCTCCTCCCTCCCTCACCCTCTCTCTCTCTCTCTCTCTCTCTCTCTCTCTCCTCTCTCTCTCTCTTCCTTTCGACTCTCTCTCCTCTCTCCTCCTCTCTCATCCCCTCCCTCCCCTCTCCCTTCTCTCCTCTCTCCCTCTCCCCTCTCCTCCTCTACCTCTCTCCCTCTCCCTTCTCCCCCCTCCCCCCTGTCCTCCACCTCCCCTTTCCCTCTCCCTCTCTCCCCTCTCTCCCTCTCCCTCCCTCCCTCCTTCCCCTCCCTCTCCTCCTTGCTTCTCCTGGTTGGAAAGCGGAACAGTTCACCTCATTGATTGGTGGGGACGTCCGAAGGCAGGATGTCCTGGAACTCCGCCCCGCCGCCCGCGGGTCAGCGCCAGGAGGCCCAGTATCACGCGGAACGCCATCCTTATTGCTTCTCCTTTGCTTCTAAAGGGAAAAGGGGCAAACTGTATTTATAATAACCCTAGAATAATGTAAAATCAAAGAATTGCTTTTTTCGATCAAATATTTCCTTTCCGTTTGCGGAAATTATTTGAGAAAAAAAAACAATCAAAACAAGAATAACCAAGGAACCGAACTCAGAAAATGTACTCTACAGTGGCTGAGATTAATACAGGAAGACAAGTATCGCAACTGATAACTTATCGAGATGATTGAACGAGACATACCAAACCGATACATAAAAAATCCTTAGTTATTTGATCAGCCTTGTGGTTATTCTCACAGCAGCTTATATATATTTCAACTATTCTCAAGAATACATTACCTATATTGCAGTTATCGACTGGGTACTGTAAGAAGGTCTTGCTGCTGATGTTGCCTTTGGTGAGTGTCACAGCCGGAATGAGGCGCCGGAACCTCTGGACGCCTTTATATACCCTCACCCCCCCCCCTCCACCTTCCCTTCTTGTGACGCACCCGATCCCTGATTGTGTGTTTGAGGAAGTCATTCCGCGAGTGGAATCTGCCGTCCAAAAGCAAGACGTCCTCTCTGGATCGACAGCTCTTTACCTTCCGCAATTATTTTAAAAAACACATTCATATTTTTCTTTCGTGAATTTTTATACCAGTTACGAGCCATTCGTGGAGCAAACAAACAGGCTCTGGAACCACTATCAGTCCCACCAACATCAGAAGCAGGCTCACAAAACACCAAGCGCACATGTATCCACGTGGCATCCTGGCGAGATCCCTAGCCGTATTGCCGCCAACACTGGAAGCAAAATACTCTGGGTGGGAAGAAGAGAATTTCCAGGGGCTCCAATCAGTCCCATCTAGTGCTGAGCTCATTTGAATTTGATGGCAAGGAAATGGGAGGGTATGGCGACGGAAATTGGATTGATGGTGCTAATGTAGATGATGCAGGTGGGAGTAATTGTTGTAATGACGGACGCATACCGATCATACCGATTACGAGAATAAGGTTGTGGTTGGCCGTACAATTCTCTTCATTTCTAAAGCACGATACATACTGATACATCAAAGTTAATTAAAGAGATCTACCACGACCTTCTAGCAGGGTGTGTAAGGGATTTCACATTGCGACATAAAGATGTAGAACAGTATTTCGATATTATTGTCCAGAGGTAGTATCTGTAATTCTTAAAATCAACGAAAGGGGAAAAAGTCTTAGGCTGACTGACTGATATAAGCATCAATCGGCAGACAGCATAACTTTTCGAGAAGCTTATTAAATATCAAATGATATCAGATATAATGTGATGTATTTATTGTGAGACCATTGCGACATTCAAGAAGTGAAAATGAGGACATCTTGCTTTATAAAAGCGTTACATGTGTAACGTCCGACAGCAATAA